TGCCTGGGCTTTGTTCCTAAGTTCTAGGGAAGTGCTCTAGTGGTGGTAATTGGCTGAGTTATCTTCACGTTTTGTGGATTGTCGTCGTACACCTACACACACTACCGATGCATTTTTCCTAAAATTACGACCAAATTCCTTCTAATTTTGGATGAAAATGGAAGAGGGAAGGCTAGGAAGTTGTTTCTAGGTGGTGGTTTGCTTTGATTTGCCAGAAAAATGACTGAATTTGGCTGTGGTGCTTGTAGGGGTCGAGTGGGTCAAGGGGAAACCCGGTTTTCCCCTTCATTTTCTTCTCCCTCCTTTCCCTCCTTTCCCCCTTCTCTAGTTGGTCACCTTCTCCTCTCTCCTCTCCCCATTCGTCCACCTTCTCTCTCTTCTTTCTGATTAGGCAGTAGCCTTTCTTTCTTCTCTTCTCCCTTTCCCCACTTCTTCTTTCTCTTTTCTTCATCTTTAAAAATAACTAAATGATAAATAAAAAATAAACATTAAAAAAAAATATATATATATATATATATAGTGACTAAAACAAAAGTACCTCTCCAGTTTACAGTTCCGTAAAACTTTAACCGTAACCCCAAATTCTCTTCTGCTTGCGCCTACGAGTCTGTAATGTCGAGTACTTCAGGAAAACACTAACGAATTAATTCATAGTCCTCACTATACGCTGATCAACAAAAGTCAATACCCTCGCCTCTAAGGGCATTTTCGTAAATTCATGCTTTTTAAATTAATAAAAAATGTAAAATTTGGGACAGGTTGTCACAAGTATACTATAAAAATAAATGCATAAATAAAACTTATATTTTTAAAATTTATGTAGAATAATAATATAATAACACATATTTAATATACAAAATATACATATATACTATGACTATTGTAATTTATGGTAAATTTTTTTAGTAGTTTAAAAAAATATAATCATCAAAATAATCTTTTTTCTTAACGTGTTGAAACGTGTTACCCATATGTCATCCTTGTGTAAACCTGTTAATGACCTGTTATTAATGGATTTTTATCGTATGACCCAATAAGGACCCGATTAGTTATCATGTTGACCCGAGACCTGTTATTTTCGTGTGGTTTACTTGTCATGTTAGTGGGTCATGTAAAAAATTGTCAAGTCTACTCATGAATGTAAATTATTATGGATGACTTTTCATATCACTTTATCAAAATCTACTACCTGTACTAAATACTTACAAGTAGTGTTATTGTAACGACTCATTCTCAATTTACGATTCTTATAATTTTAATAAGTGAATTTACGAAAATGCCCTTAGGTGGCTAAACGTATTTTATGTGGACGCATTTTACCTCATATAATTTATCAAGTTTCTTGTCATATTTGGATAAAGCTCGATCTCACAAGAACGTAGGCAAAAACCGTTCGTGAACCAAAGTTATAATAAAAGAGTTATTAACGTTTAAAGTTAGGGACAAAATGGTAAATTGGTTGTTAATCTGGAAGGCTCCAGATTTGTTGGAGCTTTGATTAGGAGCCACATGTGTGGCTGGGATGAAAAGAAAAGGAGAATGAGGGAGAGAAAAAGGGATGGAACTGGCTAATGGGAGAGGAGAGCAATGAGGGGAAAGTAGGAAGGAGAAAATGAGGGAATCAGGTACTTTTGAAGACTCGCGACCCGACCTACTATTTCCATGGTTTCCGACGACTTTTCACCCATTTTTCTGTCAAATTACACCACCTAACCACCTAGAATCAACTCCGCAACCTTCCTTCTATCCATTCCACCCCAAATTTGGTGAGATTTGGCCTTGAAAATGAGAGAACCCGCAAGGTGGGGTGCGGCGGTTTTGGATTCGAATCACCTAAATCTGAAACTAACCACATCCATCTCCACCACCTTTAGACTTCCCTTGAGGTCTGGAACAAAGCCCAAACAAGTTTAGGGCATCGGAGTTCGTTTGAGGTCGAATTGAACACACCCAAATTCAAGGGTTTCCAGCAGTTCGTGGCCAATGTAAGGTGTTTCCCTGCCAAATTGGACTTGGCCGCAGGTATGAAACTTGCTCTACTCACTGAGATCTTCATTTCTGTGAAGTTTGAGAATTTTTGGAAATAGTTGGATTTTTCCGACGAGTCGAGACCGCGCGCTACGATAGAGTCGAGCCCGGGATATAGTGGAGCCCGGGTTGGGATGTAACAATTTGGTATCAGAGCCACTCCCTGGTCGGAAGTGTGCTGACGTGGACGTCGGAACCTTAATGGGGGTGGATTATTAGATCCCACATCGCCTCATCAGCACACTTCCCGCCAGTGAGTGGCTATGATACCAAATTGTCACATCCCAACCCGGGCTCCACCACATCCCGGGCTCGACTCCGCTGTAGCACGATATTATCTGATTTGGGCCTCGATTACGCCCTCACGATTGTTTCTGGGAACTTATGCGAGCAGAACTTCCTAGTAGATCACCCATCTTGGGAATGCTCTGACTATTTTCTCGTTTAACTTCGGAGTTCCTACAGAATCTGAAGTCAGTGAGCTCCCAAAAGGCATTGTGCTAAAGGAAGTAAGCATGTACATATAAGACATAGAGGATCCTCACCCCTGGGCGATGTGGAATCTAACAGTTATAGTCAGTCCCCTAAAGGTTGCACTGAATTATCTCAGACTAGACTAGCTTCAAGGACTAATTGGGATTGGCTTGACATGGACTAAGTAATATAAGAATAATGAGGCGTTTAGTGTAATATCGAACTAAGTCACGTATTAAATTATTTTTGAGACCCAATATTTTATTATTATTTTCTAATTCATATTTCTAATATTTTATTTATTTATTTATTAACAAACGATATTATCTATACTAAGAGGGGTGTGGGAGTCAACTAAGCCTCATAATGGGCTAGCAATAAGGTGGTTCAAATTCACTTTTAGCGAGAATCGAATATAAGATCTCTCACTTACAAGTAAAGAGAAATATCACTAAACTATAGTACTAAGTGACAATATTATTAATGAAACCCTCTTTGTCAACCAAAAGATGATGAAAAAAATACTTAGTCTTCTATCACAAAAAAAATAATGGGCAATAATGTAATTTTATTGGTCCAAATTTCACCCTTTTTAATTGAAGCCTCAACTGTTAAAATACCTCCAATATTAAAAAAGAAAAAAACCTTACACTCTCCCCACGCTTTCTCTCTCCCTCCCTCATTCTCATTTTCTAAAAAAATGTGTTCAAATACATAAAATGTGTAGACAAATGCTAGTATTTATTAAATCCACAATTTTTTGTCTCTCTCCTCTCACCCTTGTTTCCGTCGAACTCTGCAATCTGTGTCTTTCCTCTCTCTCTCTCTCTTAAATTCACTTGACAATCTCCTCCCAAAGAAAAATTAGTGAACTTGTTCGCCGAAATTCGAGCGACTTGTTGCAGGTGCCATTCGAGCAATCTTGTTCATTGAAATTTGAAGGTGACATTTAGATTGGCCAACAGCTGGTCGATGAGCTTCGTATAACTTCAAAGTCCTCGAATCTAGGACGTGTGGGTTTTTGGTTTTAGACGCACATCAATTTTGTTTCGAATTGGGGACTGGGTCTAGAACAGGTGTGCATGTTTGCGCTATTTTTTTGTTTCGAATTTCGCACTGTGCGTTTTTGCTTTTCTGGATCTGGAATGACTGTTGTGCAGGATCTGGGTTTTCAAATGGTTGTGGGACGCGAAGGAGCAGCTGGAAGGCGCAAAGCGAGGAGGGACAAAATATTGCAGAATTGGGATTAGCAGTCCACCCGATTTCGAGCGGTCTCCCTAAGACCGTCTAGCGAAAGCTACTCCCTTGTGACGAACACGAGACTACACTAACATTTAATTCAATCTAATGCACTGAAAGCTAACGATGCAAACAAAGACACCCTAAATTAACTTCACTACCTCTCTTTTTTTATTTTAGTTGCATCCATATTTTAGATCAAGAGGGTTCGGCTAAACCGCATAATAGACAGCTTAATTTGGTATCGAATATATCATTTATAAGATTCAAACCTAAAACATTTTATTTTTAAATAAAGAGAAATATCCCAAATTGTAATACTAAGTAATCACTACCTTAATTCACAAATTTTTACATAATGAGTACTTTTGTTCATTAATTATTTAGTTAACCGTTTTTCCATTTAGACATGACTCAATGAGCACAATTTTTAATAATAATGGTCACTCATTGGGCTTAAAAATTATACCCTAAAGTCTATAAAATATTTTGATCCAGGTTTTGCCATTCAACAAAATTCCAACGAATTATTGTGACATACAATAACTATTGTTTATTTATGTTTTCTTTTTGCGAAAATTGTTTATTTATGTTCTTCCGTTAATTCCATTTGACATATTTCTAATATTCCATCTTAGTACTGATTTGGTACTAATGTGGTTTTATAAAAAGTAGGTATAAAAAAAGCTGAACTCAAAAAAATGTTTGGTAAACACTTAAAAATAGCTTATTTTCACAATTTTGGGTGAAAAAAAAGCTGAAAACTTGAAGCAGCTAAAAAAAGCTGAAAACTTGGAACTGGAGGCCCGCCACCAGTCAGCTACGAAACATTCAACCTTTTGACTAATTTGTTTTGGATTTAAAAACTAATGCAAGTGACCTTCTATTACAATAGTGAAGAAGAGTGTGTTATCTTTGTATCACAACGTGGATTCGAGCGATCGTCGACTTCCTAATTTAACAAATCTATGGTTTGACAAAGAAAAAAAATAAATTCAAATGCAGCGATTTATTGCATTGGAAAAAAAAAAATTTGTCTTCGAAAAAAGAACATAAAGAGGGGTAGATATTCAAGTATTTTTTTATTTCATAATATTTTATGAGAGTTTTAACGAAAAATGTGTTCAATTTAACAAAAAACCATATTTTTACTTTAAAAAATCAATCATATTACTATTCATTTTACCATGTATTTTATACTTATCCTTAAAACTCAAATTTTTTTTAATTTTGTTTCTAAAAAGTAGAACGATATATACTTATCTGTCGTAAACAAGAACTGGATTTCTGCTTGCAGAAACAAAACAGCAGAAAACTTGATTCCTGAAATTGTTTCTCTGTGAAAAAAGAAGAAGACAGAAACTGAGAGAGAAGATCGAAACGCGGAAACAGGAAGACGCAGACGAAGACACAAAGTGGAGAGAGAGAGAGAGAGGGGTGATTGGGTATGGAGATACTGTGGACATGGCTGCTGAGTTTCTTCTTCATTCTAACTTTGTTATGCATTCTGGGTTATCAGGTAATTCTTCCACGATTTCATCCCACTTTTTTAATTCATTAATTAATTTTATTTATTCAGAAGATGTTCATTGGATCACAGACTCGGATCATCTGGGTATTTAGATTTTACCTCTAGTGTAACTGGTTTTTCTTGTTTTTTATTTTTAAATTTTGAAATCAAGTATCTATTCGCATATGTTGTTTTGGATGTTCATGGAACTAGAAAAGGGATTATCATTTTATTTGTTCTTTTGAAAAATTTCACGCTGTTTCCCTTCAAATCAAATGTTAGTTGACATAGAAAGCATGTTGCAGAAGCAGGCTGGTTTTCCTTTTTTTTTTTCTTAAAAATGTGCAGGAAGAGCTTTTGCAAAACTTGTAAATAAAAAGAAATACTAGCTCTAGAAATTGATACTCAATGTGCCCAAGACTGGTTCTTTTGCAAAATTTGTAGAAAATGTTAATCTGTAGGACTTGGACCTGTGCGTGTGTGCGCGTTGTATATTTAAACACAGTCTAAGTTACATTCTTGTGCCGAATAACCTGAGTTTTGTAAGACATATAAAAACTTGATCAGGCATAAGCTTAATTATGATGAAAACAATACTCCTTGACGTTCTGCGGAAATTCTAGTTAAATGAAGGGGATCCTTTGTTTAGTATACTCAATACAATTTGTTGTCCTAAAGTGTCGATAACACATATTTTTACCTAGTAGGGCTGTCCAACAAGTCATATTTAGATATGGTCTTGCATTGTGTGGTTAATCTTGGCATTTATACACGGTTCTTGAGATTTTTAGATATATGACCCTGACCCCTGTGAATGTTGAATGCAGCTTGTGTGCTTGGTGGACCTCGAGTACGACTACATTAACCCATATGATTCATCATCTCGGATAAACAGTGTCATTTTGCCAGAATTTATTGTTCAAGGAGTTTTGTGCTTCATTCTTCTTATAGCGCAACATTGGTTCATGCTTTTCATGGCTCTGCCGCACCTTTATTATAATGTCAATTTGTAAGTTTCTTTCTCACCCATTACTCTTATGTTGTTAGTGTCCAGAATTATATAAATGACGACCTCTGTGTAATCCATAGGGTACAGCTTAAGTTACGTAGTGTCCACAGCATGGTTATGTGTTTCTTTTTGTCATATGCCTTTCCATATAATCTTGTTAACCTTGAAAGAAAAAACTTGCTCATGGTGGATTATGAATTCATCATTTTGGCACGTACTTCAGTAAAAAGTGCGAAAGTTGAATATGATTATACTGTAACGTTGTTCCAAGTGAAGCATGCTTACATGGTATATAAGTCAGCTAGGTAATCAACTGAACATTGTAAGAGAATGGTTGTTACAACCCAAACACTACACCATTTGCATGTTATTAACAAGTTGGGATAAGAAATTTAGGCTTGATTACAATTTGGTTTTATTGGTATGGACATATGGTCAAGTTATGATCTGGAAATACTTTTTGGTGAAAACTGGATCTTTAGAATTTCTTGTTCTATTAAGACTCTGTGCTCAATACTTTTTGGTGAAATCTGGATCCTTACCATGAACTGTCAATTGGCTGAGAGGCGGTTTGGGAATTTTGTAATATGCTTTTACAAATGAAATCACATTTCACCACCCCAGATAATGAAATTGTACTTTTTCATAACATCCCTCCACCTATTGCCCACCCTTTCTCTGTGCTCCCTCCCTCCCTCTCTCTATGTGTGCGTGTTGAACAGAGCCTTTTGCCATTCATAGCCTACCTATATGGATGCTGGTACGTAAACTAAGTGCACAATGGTGTCTGGACGGCATCATGTTATAAAATACTTTGGGTTGCAAATTATATTGAATGCATTAGGAGATTATATCAATAAAACTCGACACGGAACTTTCATAATTTCCAAGTTGTCAAGAACACAAGTTATTTTTGTTCTTTAAAGCAAGGTAATGATTGATCAAGAAAAGAATCATATTATTACATTATTTCATATGATTAGAAGAGGAATAATTTTATTCACAAAACCTCTTTAGATACCACATTAGAGCTTATCATCATATCTGATATGATCCGTGACTCTTTGTCAGGTACATGACGAGACGGCACTTGGTAGATACTGAGATCTATAACCGACTGAGCTGGGAGAAAAAGCAACGCTTTTTTAAGATTGGCTATCTTTTGGCCCTATTCATTCTTTCTTTATTCTGGCATTGTTTTCAACTCCCTTAATAAATTGTTATTGGCTCTTTTGAAGCACTGGCGTGAAATTACATTTTCCTTTCCTGTAAATGTGATTTAGGTTGCTATGGAGCATTGGAGACGAATACGATTAACCAGACATCATTGCTCCCACCAAGCTTTGCCCATCGTAAGTTACATTACTCTTTGATTTCTGTTGTCTATTGTGGCTAAGAACCACATAGTTCATGCGATTGTGCTTTTATTGTTGGGTAAAAGCAAGTTAATTACTTAACTCAGATTCTTTAGGGAATAAGAAGTGACTATTGCATCATCGACTTGCTGGTGTAATGTGTGTCTTTCACCAAAATGAATCTAAATTTCACAAGTTGGCATTATTTTGTATTTAGGTTGACCTTCGTAATCTCTTATCAGAATTGTAATCAATTGCTGAATTGCATGTCATGTTTTGAGCTCTGGTTGATGTGGTCATGGTATCAGGTATGGCGTTTTTCATGAGTGATACAAATTACTGTGTCTAATTTCAGGTTTTTATGATGGAGCCGGAGACGGACACTCGTGGATATAAAATCATGACTTGTGCGTAATTCAGCCTGGTTTTGGCACCTGATTTGTAATTCAAGTTCTTGTGTATATGCTTTCACTCATCCCTTGTACCCCGTAAATTTTATCTCATTTACAATGTGAAGTAGCATAAGTTAGAAGTAGTTGCATAGGCTCTGGCAGAGCCTAAGCAATATTGCAATTACATGTTTAAGGCATTTAATTAAGGATACAACTTCGCTGCTGCCAATGACCTATCATGCGTGGACACATGTCCAAGTTTTAATTAAAAAAATCAAAACTTGAACACATGTCCGCGTGTGATTGGCTATCAGCAGCTGCTGCTGCTACTGATCTTTCAGCAGCGAAGTCTTGTTCTTTAATTAATTGCCTTATACTTTTTCATCAATTCATATCTAATTGTACCGTCATTGCGCCACAACAAAACTAATCATTAATTCGAAATTAAATATTGAAAAAACTATTTGTTAATCCTCTTCTATTTGTAGGGATTGACATCGTGATAAATAGTCATGCCGGGTACAGTCTTGATAGGAATGTGCCTACTAAGCATTTACCTGGATATTCCCTCATTATCCATTCCTTAGCCGAAACCCAATCTCTATCTAACCTCAGATTCTTTGATTTGAACCAGGATTCTAAACCTAGTCCCTATATACACTTGACTCATTCTCATTTGATCAAGCATGACCTTAGAATGATTCGCATCTTATTAGAATCCATCTTGATCCTTGTAACTTAGGACTCGATCGAGCCATGCCTAAGCTTGATCCTTATATGTCCTGCTCCTAGGACTCGGTGGGCTTAGAGCTCGATCCTTATATGTCCTACTCCTACAAGGACCCGGTGGACTTAGTGTTAGGGTGATATTTTATATATAAATGATAACTCTTTTACCTATAACTTAGTCATGATTTTATAGTAAATTGGTGAGTTTGATGTGTTTTTGTGCAATTTTTGTAGAGAACATAATTCGTGAATAAAGCAGGGAATTGGAAGCTTAAATTAGAGAAACTCAAAGAATTATCGAATGGGATGTGACTGATGGGCTGGAGCAAAGAATGGAACAATACATCATATAGGAAATTGGATCATTAAAGCAAGCCCAATAAAATTAGGCGGTGCAAGCATGCGGTGATGTGTTTTCCCAAAAAGAATTGGGTTTGAGAGTCCAAACGGCATGTGGATTAGGCAACCAAAAGGAAAGGCATAGAAGAAAAAGGTTTTTAGCAGCCGCAAGGGGGGGAGATAATACGATACTCCAGCCTTCCAGTGGGGGTACTCTTGACAGAAGGTGGCAGTTTTGGGGTTTATCGCACACGGTTCCAGAATTGGGGTTTTGGGTTTCTTTATGTCATCAAATTCATCCATGTTTGTCATTAGTTTAATCATGAACTAAGTCTTTTTGCTAGGATTAGGGTGTACTCTTATCATGAACATCTAATTCTTATTATTTCATATTGAACTCGGTTGTTTTCCATGTTGTGTAATTGTTATTGTGCTTTATCGTTATCAAATAACTGGCCATTATTTGTGTGAAGAACTAAATTGGGACTGACAGGTTGAGTTTAGTAGATTGCTTCTCATAACAATTATCATGAATTACATAATTGAGTAGACATACTGGTTATGACTTGTGTAGTATTGTGAAATTATCCATTTAGCATAAAGGGTTTTGATTATCTACTTTTGTGGCTAGACATAGCATGGGTAGATAGTTAGAAACACAGTTAGTATATTCTGAAAGAAAATATTGACGAATCAAGGGATAATTGCTAGCAACATGGGAATAATTTGAGTTTAATATGAATAACGGGATTAGATGGGATTGAGAACGAGGAACCTGATGTCCTAGTGCTTCAATATATTAATTTTTCATAATTCATTCACTTTTACTTCGTGTTTGTTCAATTGATATTTTCACTTTCGTTTGGGTTCTTTGCATATTTGAATTTGTCATCGTAATCCATCTTTTATTTAAGTTTAGTTTGAAGTCAATCTCAATAGTAAATTTAGGTTAATCCGATCCATGTTTGAACGACACTCTACTTATCACTATATTACTTGGACGATATTGTACACTTGCAATTATCAACAACAAGTTTTTGGCGCCGCTGCCTTGGATCGAATTTAATTTAAGTTTACTTTTGTGATTTTCAGTTTATTTAATTTTTATTTTCGTTTTTTTTAAATTTTGATCAATTTTTCTTGGTGCATTCTCATTTTTTTTTTCTTTCTTTTTCATTGTTTCTTAAAGGTGAATGCTTGGTACTCGTTCGTCGGATTGTGTATTACTTGAGTTTGAACCAGAAATTGAGAAAAGACTCCGTGAAATCCGAAGAGACCAAAGAGAAGTCGGTGAGAAAGAACAGCAGCACGAGAGCAAGATGGCGTTAGTTCAGAATGAAACGATGGGAGATCTTGATATTCCAACCATTCTGGAATCACCGTCGAGCATAGCTCTTCCTGCAGCTGCAAGGAATTATGAATTGAAGACTATCCACTTTAATATGATGCCTTCTTTTCATGGCATGAGCATTGAAGATCCATTGGCACATATTAGAGATATCTTCAATATGGTGTCCAACATGGCATTGGTAGAAGGAGTCACCGAGGAACATCTCAGGATGAAGGTCTTTCCATACACTATGAAAGACCAAGCGAAGACTTGGTTGAATTCTTTGAGGCCTAGAACCTTGACGAGTTGGAACGATATTCAGAATAAATTTTTGGAGAAATTCTTCTCGACCCAGAAGACCGATACCCTTAGAGATAATATCATGCAATTCACTCAACAGGCAGATGAGACGTTTTCTGAGGCATGGGAGAGATTTAATAATTTGTTGATTCAGTGTCCGCACCATGGTTTGCCTACTCTAGTTCTCATGCGGATATTTTATAAAGGATTAACAGTTTCAAGCAAAGCTGCAGTGAACAACTATGCAGGGGGATCAATTAAGAACAAGACGCCAGCCGAATGTCAAGCACTTTTTGATACTCTAGCACTCGAAACACAACATTCTGAAGCAAGAGGAAGACGAGCAGGAGTTTTTGAGATTAATAATTCTACCGAATTTGCTTCAAAGGCACAAGTCGATGCGATTGCTAGTAAACTTGACACTTTGCTTTCTATGAATGGGAGAGCATCAGTTCAAGAGGTTTGTTCCATATGTGCAGTTCCTGGTCATGCCACAGTTGGTTGTCCGTATAGTGTTGATTTTCCAGAATTTGTTCAAGAGCAAGCGAACATGGTGAGTGCTTACAGACGTCCTGGTAATGATCCATACTCCAATACTTATAATCAAGGATGGAGAAACTATCCAAATCTCTCATGGGTTAATAATCAGAATGTACAAAAGCCACCATCTGGTTTCCAACCTCAAGAGAAGAAGAATAATTTGGAAGATGTCATTGCACAGCTTGCTGGTAACGTGAATACTCTTTCTGTCAATACAAATCAATTTATGAGCAAAACTGAGACAACTCTTCAGAACCAGGCTGCCTCAATAAAAAATTTGGAGATTCAAATGGGGCAGTTAGCTCATTCTTTGGCAGTTAGAGAAAAAGGTTCTTTTCCAAGCCAAACTGAAGTTAATCCGAGAAACCATGAGCAAGCTAAAGCAATAACTCTTCGAAGAGGGAAACAAGTGAAAACAGCAGCTGATTTTGAGAAAAACAATGAGGAAGAAAAGGTAGAAACCATTTCACAAGAGGAGCAGCCACTGTCCGATGTTGTACAGCCACTAGCTATACTGGGAACCACCTCAAAAGCTTCACCACAATCAGTCATTGCAGCCACGCCACTCCCTAAGCCTGTTGTCCAACCCGTGAAGCCATATGTGCCTCCTATTCGTTTTCCTCAACGGCTCAAGAAGAATATGTTAGATGAGAAGTATTTCAAATTCTTAGAGATGTTTAAGAAATTGGAGATTAATATTCCATTTGCTGATGCTTTGGAGCAGATGCCAAATTATGCTAAATTCATGAAGGATATCATCTCAAAGAAAAGGAAATTTGGCGATCATGAGAAGATTCAATTGACAGAAGAATGCAGTGCAATCCTTAAAAGAAAGCTTCCGCTCAAGCAAAAAGATAGAGGGAGTTTCAAAATTCCATGCGTTATTGGCACTAATTTATTTGAAAAAGCATTATGTGATTTGGGGTCTAGTATTAATTTATTACCTTTATCGGTTGCTAAGAACATTGGAATAGGTGAAATTAAACCCACTACTGTTTCTTTGCAGATGGCGGATAGATCAATTGCATATCCAGAGGGAATTATCGAAGATGTGTTAGTGAAGGTTGACAAGCTGATTTTTCCAGCAGATTTCTTGGTGTTGGATATGGAAGAAGATTATGAGACTCAGTTGATTTTGGGTTGGCCATTTCTTATCACAGCTAGGACTTTAATTGATCACAGCTAGGACTTTAATTGATGTGGACAAGGGTTTTGACATTGAGAATTGGGGAAGAGAAAGCAACATTCAAAGTGTTCGAGGCTGGAAAATTTCCAAGAGATGCGGAAGATTGTTTTCGCATTGATTTAGTTGAGACCGCGATTTCTGAAAAATTCAGAGTTGAGAAGCCCAGTGATCCTATGGAAGCTGCACTAGTTCATACTGCTACTTCAGAAGATGAAAATCAACTGTTAGCGGAATGTGCTCTTTATTTGGATGCTTTTAAATCAGTTACAAAGAGTGGACGATTGGAGTTCGAAGACCTTGGATCTGTACCTACAAAATCGCCGCCAAGTATCATAGCCACACCTACCTTAAATTTGAAACCATTGCCATCACATTTAAAGTATGCTTTCTTGGGAGCTGCTGAGACTTTACCTGTTATAATTTCTGCATATTTGAGTGAAGTTGAAGAAGAAAAACTATTGAGAGTGTTAAGAACGCATAGAATGGCAATTGGGTGGAGTATTGCTGACATCAAAGGAATTAGTCCGTCCATTTGTATGCATCGGATCTTGTTGGATGACAATTACAAGCCTTCAGTTGAGCATCAACGCAGATTAAATCCAAATATGAAAGAGGTGGTACGAGCTGAGATTTTGAAGTTATTAGACGCTGGAATAATATATCCAATTTCGGACAGTAAATGGGTGAGTGCTTTGCATTTGGTACCGAAAAAGGGTGGAGTTACAGTGGTTAAGAATGACAAGAATGAGTTAATTCCAACGAGGACTACAACAGGATGGAGAGTATGCACTGACTATAGGAAATTGAACAATGAGACTCGAAAAGATCATTTTCCTTTTCCATTCATTGATTTGATGTTGGATAGACTTGCTGGATATGCTTACTATTGTTTTTTAGATGGGTACTCTGGTTATAATCAGATTCCGATTGCACCAGAAGACCAAGAAAAGACGACATTCACATGCCCTTTCGGTACTTTTGCGTATAGGCGTATGCCTTTTGGGTTGTGTAACGCGCCTGCTACTTTTCAAAGGTGCATGATGAGTATTTTTTTTGACTTGGTAGAGCGTTGTATTGAGGTATTCATGGATGACTTCTCAGTTTTTGGCTCATCATTTGATTCTTGTCTGGATAATTTGTCCTCGGTGTTGCAAAGATGTGAAGAAACCAATTTAGTTCTAAATTGGGAAAAATGTCACTTTATGGTGCAAGAAGGGATTGTTTTGGGTCATAAAGTTTCGGTCAACGGCATTGAGGTAGACAAGGTGAAAATTGAGACAATTTCAAAGTTACCGCCACCCACTTCCATCAAAGGAGTTCGAAGTTTCCTTGGTTATGCTGGTTTTTATCGACGTTTTATTAAGGATTTCTCTAAGATTACAAAACCGTTGTGTAACTTGCTCCTGAAAGAAGCGGAGTTTGTATTCGATTCATCATGTTTTGAGGCGTTCAATGTGTTGAAAATGAAGCTCACGACAGCTCTTGTGATAGTTGCACCGGATTGGGAATTACCTTTTGAGATTATGTGTGATGCAAGTGACTATGCTATTGGAGCAGTTTTGGGTCAGCGGAGAGATAAGCTACTGCATGTGATTTATTATGCTAGTCGAACTCTCAATGACGCACAATTGAATTATGCCACTACCGAGAAAGAGCTTCTAGCCGTTGTCTTTGCTTTAGACAAATTCTGTTCTTATCTCATTGGTTCAAAGGTAATTGTCTACACCGATCACTCAGCTTTGAAGTATTTATTATCCAAGAAAGATGCAAAGCCTCGATTGATTCGATGGGTGTTGTTACTACAAGAGTTTGATTTAGAGATACAGGATAAAAAGGGGTCTGAAAATATGGTGGCGGATCATCTTTCTCGAATTATGCATCATGAAGGTGATAATGACTTAGTTCCTATCTCCGAAACATTCCCTGACGAGCAGCTCTTTACCATTAAATCTTCAGTCACTCCTTGGTATGCAGATTATGTCAATTATTTTTAGTTAGTAGTGATATCATGCCTCCTGATTTGATGTGGCAACAGAAGAAAAGATTCATTTCGTTAGTCAGACATTACTATTGGGATGAGTCGTACTTGTGGAAGCATTGTCCAGATCAATGTATAAGACGGTGTGTTCCTGATGACGAGATGGAGGAAATCTTGCGACATTGCCATTCTCTAGCATGTGGTGGTCATTTTGGTGCCACAAAGACTGCTGCCAAGGTACTACAATCTAGTTTTTGGTGGCCTACATTGTTTAAGGATGCTCATACTTTTGTTTCTACATGTGATCGCTGCCAACGTGTTGGAAATATCTCAAGTAGACATCAAATGCCGCTGAATAATATTCTAGAAGTCGAACTTTTTGATGTTTGGGGTATTGATTTCATGGGACCATTTCCATCATCTTACGGAAATCAATACATCTTGGTAGCTGTGGATTATGTTTCAAAATGGGTTGAAGCAATTGCTTTACCTACTAATGATGCTAAGGTTGTTGTTCATTTTCTCCGGAAGCATATTCACTCGCTTTTTGCACCCCGCGCGCCATTATTAGTGATGGAGGCAAGCACTTTTGTAATCATCACTTCAATGCTGCTCTTTTGGCAAAAATATGGAATCACACATAAGGTTGCTACACCTTATCATCCACAAACTAGTGGGCAGGCTGAGATTTCCAATCGAGAGATCAAGAATATTTTAGAGAAGACCGTGGGACTTTCACGCAAAGATTGGGCTGCAAAGTTGGATGATGCGCTATGGGCGTATCGGACTGCATTCAAGACTCCAATTGGCATGTCTCCATATCGATTGGTGTTTGGAAAAGCATGTCATCTACCTGTGGAACTGGAACATAAAGCATTTTGGGCAGTGAAGAAGCTTAATTTTGAGATGGACGCAGCGGGAGAAAAGAGAGCTCTTCAATTGAACGAGATGGAAGAATTTCGGATGCATGATGCATATGAAAATGCTAAAATCTACAAGGAACGTACCAAAAAGTGGCATGATCAACATATTCTTTGTCGTGAGTTTTATATTGGCCAGCAAGTTCTTTTGTTTAATTCTCGGCTGAAACTTTTCCCTGGGAAGTTGCGAACATGATGGTTTGGTCCTTTTACAGTTGTTCAAGTTTTTCCATATGGAACGATTGAAATTCGTGATCATACAACAGATGCTACATTCAAAGTTAATGGACAGCGATTGAAGCCATATCTTGCTGCCAGTTTTGAGCGAAACACGAATGTTGTGACCCTTGCTTCTCCCGATTGATTGCAATGCCAAGTCGGGCTGAGGACTTTAAACTAAGCGCTTGTTGGGAGGCAACCCAACCAGTTTCATTCGTTCCTTTCCTTGTTTATTAGTTTTGCATTTTCTTCCTTTCTGTTCCGTACTACTCATTGTGCATCTTTTTGTTGTGATTTTGCATTGAGGACAATGTTTAGTTTAGGTTTGGGGGGAGAGCCTAGTTTTTTTGTTAGTTTGGTTGATTCATTTGAATTTTTGTTTTTAAGGTCAACAGCTAAGGTTTTTATGTTCCAAGTTTAATAATATTGATTTCTTCACCCACATGATGATTTGAACATGTTTAGTTTGTCATTTCAAATGTGTTTGGAGTGGTTTTGTTGTTATGTGCAAAAGAAATTGCAAAATTGCACTTTGAGTTCATATTTTGGTCATAATCAACTTATCTACCTAAATTGATTTTGGATGTTTTTCAAGTAATTTGGTGATGCTAACATGTTTAGAATGGTTAATATGATGTGTTGGAATAGGTTTGGGACAAAAAATTAGACCTACATTGTGAATTGGGAGGTTTAGAAGCTCAAAAAGTGAAAATAAACATGTAAATTGCTGCATAATTTCTGCAGATTTTCTGTCATAAAAAAGCTTTAGTGACGACCTTCAAAGACTTTCTCTGTCACGAAAGGCTTGTTCATACTTTTAGCGACGGTTTCTGGGAATTATTTTTGTCACTGAAAGTCAGTTTTGCTGATTGTTGGCAGATTTTTATCCTATGATGAAGGCAACAATTTTGGCTCGGAATTCATTATTTTTAAAGCCATTCCATCTTCCATGATGGCCAAAAATAGGTGTATTCTCTTCCTATTCTCTTACTTTCTTTCATGCTTATATTTATACATCCTTATGTGATGAATTGTTTTGTTAAAATTTATAGGATGAGGTAGGAATTAAAATTTTGGGATTGGGTGTTAGAATTTGTTGGAAACAATAAGAGCTTGGAAGCATAAGTTGTTAAGGTATTCACTTTAGCATATTAATGGCGATGTATATGTCTTGCTAAGAATTTTTCCTTTGCTAAAGGGTTGCCTAGAAGGTTTTTGCATCACATATTTTTTTTTTTTTACCATTCATTTTGCCATGTCTCAAGTACTTTGGTGGAGAAATTGTCCATGTTTGGATGATGTGGAGAAATAGTGGAGACTACCCATGTGAGTTGTTGAGCCTAAGCTTTTCTTGAGAGGGTTAATTTGTTTCTACTCCTAAACACTTTTCAATTTCTTTCTTTAATTTTTATTATCTCATTAACATTATTTTGCATTGGGTACTAAAGAACTTTAATATATGTTGGGTATTCTTGCCATTGGGTTAGACGGAACTATAGAAACGAAGTTAGGCTATGCATGTTTTCCACCACTAAAAGACCTATTCCCTACCCTTTTGTGTGCTCCATTAACCCCATTGAAGCCAAACACTTAGCCTTTTCTTTCATCACTCACATAAAATCTTATCCACTCTACCCTATATTAGCCATACCATATAGCTTGAGAGATACCAAGGTGATACCAAAAGAAATCAAGGTTGAATTCTACATCAACGTAGTGGCGTGTACCGAGGTACCATGTGGCTTATTTTTATTTCTTGTAGTTTTCATAAGGATTCGACGTGATCATGGAGTGCCGGCTGTCGACTACCTGACGCCCTCCCCCTCCTCCTTTATCTTGTAGTTATAAAAAAAAAAAAATCAAGAAAAAGAAAAAGAAAAAGA